GCTCCCAATGAATTAATCTAAAATTTTAAATCTTGTAGTTTGCTTATATTAGTAAATGAACAATATCAGCTTATTATCAAATTATGTACCAGTCAAGAATTTCTCATTGGAGCTCAACTCGTAAGATCTGGATTTACTCCTAGAACGTCACAAGTTCAACTCTGCTTAGGACCATCAGATGGTTTGTCTCGTTGTTAACTTCAAACCCCATTGAATCGAGTTGCATACAAGTTAACCCAAACACCCATGCTTTCTAAAATATATATTAAATCTTACAGATAAAAAAACATTTAGACATTTGTAGCAGTTTAAAAGGAAGATCTGTGTTATCTTATAAACTATTTAGTCAAGATCTGTTAAAACTCTTAAATTTTTTAGAATACAATGACAAATTCACAAGATTCATTGGAGATTTGAGTTAAATTTTTAGAGATGTAAACGTAATTAAAAGATGACTTGATAGATTGTTTTGTATAATTGAAATAAATTTTCCATAGAAAAATAAAGTAAAATTAGCATATCAAATATAAATTTTTATTTTTATATTAAAATTTGTATTAACTTTTCGATCTTGATCTAGAATAAAATTTACCCTATGCATGCACGATAAAGTATATGTGTTATATATAGAGAGAGAATCAGATTCATACGATAACAATAATTAAATAAGAGAATAAAAAATTAAAACGGTGGCATCATTTAATTTTATACTAAAATCACATATAAAACCAAATGTGATTCATGCGACTTTGATTGCTAAGGTCGCGGGCCACATCGCATGCACATCTTTTTGTAGATTGTTAATGTAAAACAACATGTGATATTGCACTTGATTTGACCATTTTTGTATTTTATTATTTAGTTTTTATTATCATGTTTATGTGAAAACCACAAAATAACTGAGTACATGTATATTAATCGATACATATACAATATCAAAATATGTATTCCGTCAATGAGTATATTATCAATATATATATACTATGTATGTAAGTGTGTGTATATATATATATATATATATGTGTGTGTGTGTGTGTGTGTGTGTGTGTGCGCGCGCGCGCGCACGCGTGTGCATTGATGCATATGCTCATTAAAATTCGTTACTGTATATGCATCATTAAATATACAAGTGTTAACGATTCTCAAATTTTTATGGTTTCTCACATGAACCCACCCCTATAAACATATATATGGAGGTTCAAACTAACAAAACATGGGAATACATATAGCATAATTCACGTGGTTTTATACTAAAATAACGTGTGATATAAGTTTTCTCGTACTTTTTTATTTTGACCAGACTCCCGTTTGAACCCAACCATATGTATGTTAGTATGTGTGTATACATATATATGTATATATATATATATATATATAGAGGGATTATCGTGTGAAAAAGCAAGTTATGGTAAGAAGCGAAAGATTATATTTGAACCCTTAATTATTTTTAATCTCATGTCCATACATGAATTGCGTTTTAGAATGAAATTGATCCAGTGCATCTCGATACACATCATTAGTGTTGACATTCAATTATGATTAATCTAAGAGTGGAGATATTTTTTTACGATTCTCATCATAACTTATTTTCTCATCGAAACCCAACCTTATATATGTATATATATATATGTGTGTGTGTGTATATATAGAGGTGTGTGTATATATGGCTCATTCAAGGAAGAACTGACTAGTTTGTGGTAACCGTGCGATCCAATCTCAACCACAAATCAATAGATAAATTAGGAAATTTATAATTTTGGTAATTTTGAATTAAAATTTTAATGCAAGGACATTTTAGGTATTTTCTCTTCTCTCTCCGTCCTCCGGCCACCGTTCTCCAGTGATACCATGGTGATTCCCAAAAATATTGACTCTGTTAAACAAAAGACACAATGTGATACTCAAGCATATATAAGATGCATTGTGATATCATTGTGTTACATTTCCGATCGACCACACAAACGATCTCAGTGTGATACCCAAACACATATATGATGCATTGTGATACCATTGTGGTATCACCGGAGGACGGTGGCCGGAGGATGGTGGCCGGAGGACAAGGATAGAAGAGAGAAGAGTTTTAAAATACCTAAAATGTCCTTGCATTGAAATTTTAATTCAAAATTACCAAAATTATAAATTTCCTAATTTATTTATTGATTTGTGGTTGAGATTGTATCTTACCTTTACCACAAACTAATTAGTTTTCATTTGATTAGGTCCATATATATATATATATTATAAAAGAAAATGTGATACTAATACATGTGGTCTATGAAGAAAGATGTTAATTTAATTGAAACACGTTTATAACATGATCCAGAAGATTGTGAGTGTGTTTTGGACCAAATATGTAAAAGGGCCCCCATTCGATATATATATGAGGGACATCGTGACCCCGATCACTTGTCGTATTTCCACCACCTTTCCGCAAAGCATCCTCCTTTTTTATTTTCTATTATCTAACTTTTTATTGCCTTCCTCTCTGCATTAAATAATCAACATACTTGTCACACTCTCATAATTATAATTAGAAAAATCGTTTAATCCACACGCCAAACAAAAATGAATAAACCAAACTTGCATATGCAAAAATTGCACCAAATATACGAGCGTTTTAGTAAAAGCATACAGATTTATAGTCTCGATGTAAAAAATCCATTGTTTGGTAAATCACAGGTGATATGGTTTTACTGTCATTTAGTAAGACGCAGGTAAATTATTTGTAACTGATTAAAATTTCGTTATGAATAATTATAAGGGATATGATAAAATCAAGTTTTAATATGAGCAACTTTAACTTTATCGATTTAATAGGTTAAAAAAGTCCGCTACCGAATAATTATTGTATGTTAAAATTTGACAAAGATTGTCGATTTTAGTGTCGGCATTTGTTTGCCTAACCTTTAATCCATTTGACAAGTTTATGTAAAAAAAAAAAAACTTTTACCGATAAACATTGATCCACTAATTTTGGACTCATAATTGTAAAGATTGTATCCACACTATTTTCAGATTCTGAATTAAATATAAAATGTATTTGTTAAAAGAAAAGAACAAATTATTTTTTAAAAATTTTGCAGTACTGTATGTCGGTTTGAAGAATCCGTCATTTGGTTGAAAATCTATACTATATTATAAAGCATTTTAAAAAACTCTTGAAAACCATTTTTATACGTGAAGTACTGTTTATTGATGCATATTACTTAAAATTTAAGATTACAAATAATTTTGCGTAAGTATAACTTATTAAAGCTTCATTTTAAAATTCGTGTAACTAACTACTGATAAACATAATTAAATATAAGATAAACATTGATTTTAAATATAGAAAATCTAAAATATAATTAAGATAATTATGAGTTCTAATAGAATGTTTAACTATTATTTTTATAAAAAAGTTATATAATTAAACCAAAAATAAATTATTTTGTTATTAAATCTAAATTAAGTTACAATAAAAAATTGAATTAAAGAAGTTACATAAATAAATAAAAAACTATTAAATAGCTGATTTGATATTATTATCGATTTATTTTTTTTTACAATTTTTTATGTTATATTTAAATTTATATTTTAATTCAAAAATAAAAACATTACCCTTTTCTCAAAACCATATAAAATAAACAAAGAATAAAAATTAAACATTAAAATTGAGATTTATCTCACTGCATTGCACGAATACCCATCTAGTTGATTAAACATATCGAAACTGTTATAATATTTTTTTATTAAAGTTTTATTTATTTTTAATGTGTAATTTACATCTTTACTTTGATATCTTTAAAAATACGTTATAACATAATAATAAGTAAAAAAGAAAAAGAAAAAAAAAGAACCATGAATACAATTTTAAGTGATGTGTGGCTTTTTTATTATATTATTTAAATTATTTTCAATTTTAATATTAGAGTTGTGTTTGTAAATTGTTATGGACTTGGTCTTTCTTTTCTCATATATTCCATGATAACCCTCTATATGTCTATGTGTCTTGAATTTGTCTATAACACACATCCACCACTTACATTATGTGCAAGGGTAATATGGTAATTTTATAACTTCATTTTGATTTCACATTTTTGTCAAACTTTTATAAAACGAGGACATATATGAATATAGGGAATGGGGATGAGGGTCCGGTGAACCGAGTTGGAGGCGCTCGAGATAGAGGTCGGTGTGGGAGCACAAGAGATGGAAGTTGCGGTATGATGCCAGAGAAGGAGGTGGCAGTGGGACGTCAACGGTCAAGGTGTGAGAGATTTGATGACCAAATGTTATGGTAAGAGATCAAATCAAAACAAATTATATAGGTGGAAACTTGTTATGTAACAAATGAAAAAAAACGAACAAGTCCATAACAATTCATAAACCACAAGGACTGAATCCGTAAATTACTCTTAATTTTGATATTGATAAAAAAAACATTCATGAATAATTAGCATTAGAAAAGGAAAAGGAAAATAAATAATAAAATCCATCAAATGTTATTGAAATCCAGAAGTCTCAGGAAACGACGACGTCACATAATCTCTAACCTCCCTCGCAATCACCCCTTTCATGACATCCCAAAATCCCGCCGGTACATTCTCCGTCCTCTTCTCCGCCGACTCATATCCACCCATCCCCGGCGGAGCCAACGAAAGAGTCGTCATCGGATCATCTACATCCGCCGCCGCATCCCCATTAGACACCGATCCCGGCGACATATGAGCAGTCCCGAAGCTCAAAAACTCCTTTTCCGATTCCGACCTGCTGGTTTGAGTCACAAAACTCTGCCTCCTCTTCAACGTTGAATTCCAATGATTCTTAACCGCATTGTCGGTCCGGCCAGGAAGCAACCGAGCAATGGTAGCCCACCGGTTGCCGTACTGAGCATGAGCAGCCAAAATGGTTTGATCCTCCGCCGCAGAAAACGGCCGGTGCTGCACATTGGGACTGAGCTGGTTACACCACCGGAGCCTACATGACTTGCCGGACCTTCCCTTAATGTACTTGCTAATAAGCGACCAGTTTCGAGGCCCATAAGTGTCAACAAGTCGGGTAAGGATCCGATCTTCTTCAGCACTCCATGGACCCTTGATCTTATCAATTTTCCGAGCTGAATGAGAGCAGTCTGATGAATCAGATGAAGATGAAGTAGCTGATGAGCATCTATTGAATGATTCCATCAAGAAATTGAACAGTTTGTGAGGTGGGCTTTGTGGAATATATAGTAGTTTGAAGTGTGTTTGTGAGTGTGTGTGGATTATATATGTATATATAGATGAAGATATAGATATATATATATATATATATATATATAGAGAGAGAGAGAGAGAGAGTGTGTGTGTGTGGTGATGGTGCATGCACATATGAAGAAAGCAGGGGGCAAAGGCAAAGGGGTAGGTTCTTGGAAATTGGCTTTTGTAAAGTTGGTACCACTTCTTTATAATTTTAGTTCCAGATGAATGTTTTTGTGGTCTGTTGGTTTCAAGATTGAAGTTTTAGATGCATTACCTTTCCTCCCTCTTTCCTTTTCTCTTTTTTAATCTTGTTGCATAATCAATGGTGTTTGAAATTCCTTATTTGAAATAACTTATGATTTTTTATAAATTTATTATAAGTTAGAAGGGTTTAACTTGTAATAAAACTCTTTATTACCGGTTTGACACCGGTATAAGTTGTTTATCCAAACACTCAAAAGTGCTTATTACCTGTGCCACACCGGAATAAATCAATAAGTTGTTTTTATAAGCAATCTCAAACACCCTCTTATATAAATACAATCTTTTCTTTCATAAACCCAATTCTTAATGGTAAACCCAAATAATTGCACCTTAAGGCTGCGTTTGGTACATGAGACATCACATGATAGGACATGACAAAACTCACTGTCTAATGTTTAGCACGACATGAGATAAGACAAGAACTCATTGTCCCACGTTTGTTGCGATATGGGACAAGGACAAGTACTGGGACAAGTTGGGATAAAAAAGATTTTTTCTTGTTCCACATATTTATGGGACGAGAATGAGACAGAAACTAAAATATTACTAACGAACATCGTTTGATATATAACCTTAACATGATATTTGTTTTAGTGGTCACTATCGCTGGTTGTGGCCGCCGCCACCACCACCGGTAGCCACCGTCGACAACCTCCCCCTCCTCCACCACCTCCAGAACAACCATCGACTACCACCGTCTATCACCACCTCCACAACCATCATCTGTCACCTACCACCACCGTCCATCGCTACTTTCGCCTTGGCCACCTCTACTTTCTCTTCTACTGTAACAACCTATTCCACCACCACCATCATCGTCCACTGACCACCACTGTCCATTGCCACCATTACCACCATTGGCCGCCTCCAGCTTCTCTTCTACTACAACCTCCTCCACCACCCCACAACCATCGTCGACAATCGACCAAACACCGTTCATCGCCACCACCATGGGCCACCTCACCTCCACCATCGGCTACCATTACCACTGCCCACCACCACCACCACCACCACTATCTACCATATTCATGTCCTCCATAACCACAACCGTCCATCTCCACCACCACTAGTATCGTCGGCCACCACCATCATAACCACCACCACTGCCCACCATCACACCTACCTCCACCACACATGCCACAACTGCCTCCTCCACCACTATCGTCCACCAATTACCAATGCTTTTATCTCCACAACCATTGTTGTTGCAACAATCTTTACCGTGCTTTCACCAATTGATAAGCTCTTCCAAACCAAATAAAACAAAATTTCTCCTCTATATGAATCAGATTTTATCAAAATACCATCAATTATACAAAAAAAATTATTCAAATTTGGTACTATATTATATTTATGTATATGAAAATTGTGTAAAAATGTTTATAAATTAAAATATTTACTTTATTTGTGTTAATTATAACTATTATATGATATATAAAATCATAAAATAATTTTTAGGGGCAACTTATCTAGTTCTCCTAGTCATAGTCGTACCAAACACCAGACAGACACTTGTCCTGCCCTCTTGTCCTATCTAGTCATGTCTAATCATGTATGTGTACCAAACGCTACCTAAAGGTGGATACAATGGTGTGTTTTAAACTGGATTCCACCTTTTCGTAGGATTTTTTTTAAAGTTTTTGTTGATTTCGAGGAATTTTTAAGTTTTTTGGTCAATTTCGAAAGATTTTTTTGGTTGATTACAAGAGACTTTTTTGGTTTTTGGTTGATTTTGATATACTTTTCCCTCTTTTTTTTTGTTGATATTCCTTATTTTTTCTAATATTCTGTAACACCTCTCAATGGTTAGCCGATGCACCTTTCATATAGAAAAATGCTACTTATGAATATAAGTTGAGGGGTGCACAGAAGCTAGCTCGGATATGCATAGGTCCGCCCCTGCCTATAATATTCATACATGCTTACAAACTAGTTTTCATGTATTTCTTCAAATATGATATAACATGTTTGAAAATACAATGTTTTATACATTAATTTCCGTTTCATATATGAAACATTTATGAATGTTTTTTTCCACAAACAATTTTGAACGTTTCACACATGAAACAATACTGTATAAACACTGTATTATCTTACCTGTTGTTTCACATATGAAACAACAGGTGAAAATTGATTTGTAAGTTTGTAAATGAATATCTGTCTAGTTAAATAATTTTATTGGAAGTTAAGTAAATCAAAAAATTGTGATAAAAATCATCCCACTTTCCCAATTTCGTAGCGTTACTAAATGAACCATCTTTGTGTTAAACCAGAGTCATTCTTATAATTAGCTAATGATGGATATGCGAGCTTTAGACTTTTCGAAGAAATGGCCTTCGATAGTCTAATAGGAGTTTTTGGAAGCACATGAATTAAGTGGCCCGTTCTTTAGCTGAATCAGATTAGAGGTGACATCAAGGGTTCTGAGAGGAAGCCAGATCGTAGAGATAAGACAAATAAGTTCCTTCTGTTAGTCTCTACTTGTATTGCATGCTTTCACCTGATTAGATGTTTGTCTACACAAAATTGAAGGGCGCACGCACCATCAAATCATATAAAATATCTTACCTGTTATATTTCTCAATTATATGTTGTATTCAAGGTTCAATTTCGGTAATGCGGCCCATACGCCATGGTGTCTTGAGGCACGCCATGAGGTTTTTACAAGGCACGACTATTTAAAAAAAACAGTTTTTTGTGGTTTTACACTTTTAAATTTAGATTTTACATTTTTATAAATTATCATATCATATCACTCACAAATTCATTCACATATTCGACTCACGGTTAAAATGATGTTTTAAAATTAACCCTCTAAGTACTATTTTGAATATTTAATCAAAAACTATTCTTATAATAATAATAGTATAAACCACAAGGGTGGTGTCTGATTGGTTTGAGCTTGACTTCAAAGGTCAAAAGTACCAGGAGGTCCTAAGTTCAAATCCAATGAGAAATAAAAATTCTCTTGTCACCACGGAGGTTCAGATGCGATGACTCCGGGCTATCTGCAAAGCAAGTGGTCGCCCTGGGATTAGTCGGTTCGTATAGCGGGTTGTATATCCAGGTTAATAAAAAAATATGATTTTTTCTTCTTATAATATGAATGTAATTTTTTAGTATGATTATATGACTGAACATTATATAGAAAACATATATGTATATACTAGGTGTCTACCCGCGCAAAGCAGCGGGTTAGATCTCAATTCCGAGGCGGACAACTCGAACCCGTAATCTTGCTTTCTGTTGTGCTCTATTCTATATTCCACTTGATTTTATTTTATGTTTTAATTATATGGTTTTTAGTTTTTAGTTAATTGGTATATAAATTCAAGGTTATTATGATTGACTCACCATATATTTGGAAAGAGAATTGTGAGAACTTCTATTTTGATTTGCAAATTGAGGCTCCAACTRWTTATGTTGTATCCTTCCATTTCTCATCTCCAACTTTCTAATTATGTTATTTTACTTGTTATTGGTMTTCTCTGAGTTTTCTGGTGTCATTTAATCGAGTTTTAAAGAACCCAAAGGCTACCATTGAAGACGGTTTCGACCTTCATTTAATGGTCTTAAATCTTAATGGGGTTGTTTTTCTTCAATTGATGCATAAAAGCGATGGCTTTTTATATAAAACAATATTTCGACCGATTTTTTTATAAAAAGGTATCGAAACCGAGTTGTTTTGGGTAGCTTCAAAATTGGATCAGAAAAATGGTTTTGGGTCTTAGGCGCTTGTGGAAATTATATATAAATGAGTAAGAGATTCACTAACAATTGCAAAATCTATCAACTTCATTCTGCCATTTTTATTTTTCTTCTTGTTGGACTTATGCATCCAATCGATTTCATGGGCATTGCTTGCCTACTCATGTCAATTCTTCAATATTATACCATGTTTACTTGTATGTATAAAATGGTTGTAAACCTTTCTAGGTCTTATATCTCCATACATGTTTCTATACATCATGGAGATAGGACCCTCAACATTAAGAGAATGAACTAAATGAATGTTATTGAAAATCTTTGAATTTATTTGGTTTCAATGGATGATATTTAAATCCAAAACTAATTGCAAGTCGTAGTATCTAAACACAAAACGTAATCAAGATGAAATACATATTTGTGACTTTGTAACTCAAAAGCTGTAACATGATAATTAGTTTCTTAAAACTATGTGTTTTTCATAAAATACAAAAACAAAGCAACCAAAGCCAACTGCTCCAACGTAAATTTTCTTTAAAAATTGGCTTTACCAATAAAGACTATTGTAGAGAGTGACAGGACCATATCCATTAGCCAATAAAATAGACTAAAATTAAATACATTACAATAACAAAATATGTAAAACATGAAGCTCATGTTTCGTTATTTCCATCTTTTTACACAACCATCCAATCCCTAACCGGTCTCACTAATGGCGGTGATGTTCGCATTCCACCGGCACCGAAGCAAAACCTAGCGGCATCGTTGCAGTAGTCGTATATCATATGGTTAGCCCGCACCCATATCAACTGATGGCTTTGATGCACATTTATCTCCGACAACACCGGTCGATCCCACCAACCGCCGCTGCTCGCACACCGCTTCGAATTGTCGGTCCGTCGATTTCGTACCCACGGTACGATGCTACAAAAGGGTCATGGGTCCAGTCGGTCTTGACCCGGCCACCTTGTGTGGCCCAGTCATCCGCATTCCAAATCGAACTGTACACACCCATGATCTTTAGGAAACGGTATACCCTTGTGCTCCAAATT